GCCGTCTGTCTGCAGACTTGCCAAAGCCTTAATTCATGGTTTTTACTATCCGGTATCAGTATGTTGTTAGTTCGGCATTGTTAAGTATTATTATTTGATGACGCCCTTAGTCTGTGTACTACGGTAGCAGTCGCACTGTTATTCTGTTCTTGTATGTAGGTACGTCCTAATGTGACGTCACTACGTTGACTGTTGTCAGTCTGTGAATAAACTTACCGGAGACATGCTGAAGAGAATACCGAGTCTGATTTACTTATTGTTCATATGCGATTCATGTGCACCCAAGCTTAACAGGTTATGGGCCCAGGCAGAGTTGGACACAAACCGACTTGGAGATAAGTGAGTTAGATTATCGGAAGAAGTGTTACGCGACGTATTACGCGTTAGCCAATTAAGCTAACAAGCTAGCTTAGCAAGTGAAGTATATTAGCAAGCTAGTAGCCCTCGCGGTAAAGTTGGCGCGCAAAAATGGCAAGCAGAGCAACAGGTCTCCTGGCACCGCAGCTCTTATTCAAAGGATGTGAAGATAAGTATGACCTTTGGGAAACAAGATTCCTAGGCTGCTTACATACTCTGAGGCTAAAAGAGACTATCTTACATGAGCCCACCGGTGCTGATCAAGAACAGCTAGATGCAGATAGAAGGAAGAATGCTGATTGCTATGCTGAGCTAATAAGGCTGATAGATGATAAGAGCCTGTCGCTAATAAGACATGAGGCCGCAGATGACGGCAGGAAGGCTCTGAAAATACTGAAAGAACATTATTCAGGGAAAAGCAAGCCGAGGATAATAAACTTATACACGTCGTTAACGAGGCTGCACATGGCAGACAACGAGAGTGTTACCGACTACATGATAAGGGCAGAGAACGTGATAGTTATACCATGGTTACGCTCCTTCTACCCTCTGCGAGTGTAATCAAGCGCTCGTGGAAGTATGTCTTTGTCTTATGTCACGCATGACGCATACTGTAATCAGTGTCTAAGTTCACCAGCAGTAGTATATTATAAAAATTTTGGTACCAGTTATAATAAATGACCCAATAGGACACTTGTTTTGTTATATTCGAGAATAAAGAAAATGGAATTGATACAAATATATGAGATACGATAAGATCCACGGTTTGTATAGGACTCGTTGGAGATATCGAAATAAAACCACAGACCAAAATACAGTAGTGTATGTCAGTCTGTAAACAGAGTCATCCTGTCATAAGGTTAAAAGACGGACTGACGAAGTTTGGTCATCTCTTATTGAACATCGGCTGACGATCGGTATCATGTGTCTGAAGTGCGCAGTAGACTTATATTATGAGTATTGGGTGGAGCGAGAATCAGTATTGATATAATGGACTGTTAGTTCATGTACATTTATCCGAAAAACAAAATGGATTGTACATGGGAAACACATCTAACGTTTCTATAGGACTCGTTGGACGGAAATCGAAATATACTCCATCGAACATGACCAGTTAGTGTAGTCGGACACCCACTCTTTTACAGTGAGTAGTATCAGCTAAGGACCAAAGACTGACATCGCGGAAAATCGATGTTTACGCGCGGAACATGACAGACTGGGTCAGTTACAGTGAGAACTCACCGCATCTGGGTAGATGGGGGGTGATGGGCAAACGGACCACCGTTAACCACTCCAACTTCCAGAGCAAGAGGAGGTCACTAGAGTAGAGGAGCAAGTACCGTAAAAAAAGGTGACGGAACTAAACCCACTGCGATAACCGCAGGACCTTCCAAACTCCTTACAGCGTATGACGAGACATATGTTTTTAGGTACGTTACAAACGTCAAACAGGAGGCATAGCAGTCAGAGTTTGAGGACATCCACTCGACCAGAGGAGGACCAAGACCCACCCAAAAAAGACAAACCTCAGAGCCACTGAAATGGGCCGACACATGCAAGTCAGACAAGTCCATTGTCAGGGTCTTTCGTGGTGAAACTCATAGAACTGGAACCGTGTAAAGGGTGTAGTGTAAGTAGTTGTTGTAAAAGTAGCGACAGGAACCTGGGACCCTACATGTAGTGATAGTGGTATAAGTAACATACTGAGACCACAAACACAAAGGAAAAGAAATAGGGGAAACAAACACTTAAAAATGTAGACACGAAAACCTGGGGAGAGACACAGACCTATAATGTGGTCCATTCGACCCGATAAAATAGTATCGGATACTTTTGGAACGAGTGTGGATCCCAGCTCGAAAGGGAAGAGAACAAACATTCGTTTTGTGTGACTGGTTTAAAGACTTCAAACCTATATAAACCAAGAAACGGACACTTGTCGAGCATACCAGGCAAAAGAACACGGGATGACATGTGGACAAGGAATGTATTCGACGACAGACATACCGCATTCAAGGTAATACAAATAAACCCATTGAACGAAAGATAGTCATTCGTAGACGGGTATAGTATCTCTCAAGCGGTTGGAGAGAGACGACATGGTAAAACCACCCCACTTATCCCACGTCTGCAGAGCACAGATTAGGATAAAAACCAATTGTCACGGACCTTCAGAGCCGAACATTTGAGTCACGGCAATAGACTTGCCTATGTGAATTGAGAGGCATTCCCACGATACAGAACGATTCTTGGAAAGACACCGGACGTGACATAGTGAGAACCTGGAATCTTTTATATGTTTTTATCATGGTCTCATCAGCAGACATTTCTGACACATATAGACACGGGAAGATACGAACCACAACTGTACCCTGGCCGATTCAGACACAACCTGATCAAGATTCCCGGTAGAATCGGAAAAACAGACCGAGGGACAAAGAGCAAACCCACTTGAACGGGACACATGTTAGTAAGTGTGTTGACTCGACCAAACTGACGTGAAGGAGAATAGAGGTACGGAAAGTGATGTGGAACATTTAAAACATTTGTAGAAGCATTAACGTTACTGGTGTTTTAAAGTACGGTTCAAAACGTACAGCACTGGTGGGAAATGTAACCAGTTGTAAGGGGAGTTGTCAACCCATTCATTATATGTTTACATGATGTGAAAGTACCTACAGTTTGGACGACGGCAGGAACCAATTGGTACCACTGACAGGGGAAAGAACTTCCACTAACAGCGGGAGGCAAACAACGAGAACGGTGTGGCTTTTCTACAGTACACCCTACTCCGGTACATGCTACGTAGGGCATCGACACGAGACAACAAACAGCAGGCCGCAGCAGATTATCTGTATAGTGGCGGCAAGGAGAAGAGACACGACAAGGTAAGTGAACCAGGGCAGTCGATTGAGGTGACTTACTCTGAGCCCGACCTTACTTAGCAGCTTCGAAAATTTGAAAGGCTACAGCAAGTGCTACACCCTACAGCGAGGACGCAGGTGGTACTACGGAAAGTAGAAGTGCAACAGACCACCAAAAGGCGAGAAAACACACGAACCGGAACTTCTCTACCAGAACCAGCGGTAAGACAAGGAGACGCTGAAAAGACCGTGGTAGAAGAGGGGGGAAAAAGAATGTCTCACTAAGTAGCACACATAAGAAAACGTCATTGGCGTGGTGTGAAAAGCTTTTGGTAAAAGAACTATACACAGGAAGAATAAGGTGTGAACGATCGTGCAGTGTAACCGTATAAGTAGAGAAGACACGATCGCACGCAGACCACGTGAGCCGGAACGGAACGTGTACAAATAGTAGTGCTAAAGACACCTAAGACGACACCAAGTTAAAAGAGGCTGAGAAAGTATCTGGGAATTAGAAGAAGATTTCAGACACTTGCATTGCAATAGAAGCAAGACACAATGTAACCTGCCGCTTACCGAACTCCTCAGACCATTTGGTAAATCATAGTACCGATACCCAGTCAGGTAGTGAGTACCAGAGCGGACGGTAGAGANGCAGGCTTTGCTTGTAAAAAGGCATTTGGCATCTGGAAAATGAAAACAGGGCATTTCACATAAAGAAACAATTTCATTTCAATTTAATAATGTCAATGTAACATTGACATTATTAAATTGAAATGAAATTGTTTCTTTATGTGAAATGCCCTGTTTTCATTTTCCAGATGCCAAATGCCTTTTTACAAGCAAAGCCTGCACCAAATTTGGTCCAACACTTCGGCATTTTCATCATTATGACTCTGATCCACTTTCCTGACTCTAAACAGCACTGATTTTATTTTTCAGGTACAACTGTACAGAGATGTGGCATGAGTTTGAAAAAGCCTACGTGAACCGGGACCCTTGTAAGATCCCCATCAACGCCTATGACTCTTTAGTTGCTGCGGCGCCCTTTGAACACAGCAAAGTAAAAACCTTTCATCACAAAACTGTGCACATTATCCACTAAATGTATCTTTGGAAATAGATTAATACATTTTATATGTTTGTTTTCGGGTTAGACGTTGTTCTGGAGTAAAACAAAGAATCTGGTCCGTGACTTAACTAAGAACAGGGATGATGTCAATTTGGAGAAAACTCTGCTGGGATCTGTGCTGGATGGTCTGACCTGGTGTGGAAAGATGGGCAGCAGAGGTAAGACTCTTTGTGAAAAAGTCAACCTTATAATGCCGCAATTGACTTGCAAAATAGAATTAAAAAAACTAAGGAGAGAGAATCAAGGAGTAGTGGCATTGATTCTATGGAATTGTCTTACGTTCAGTGAGCTGACCTTTGACCGTCTGAACGTAATTAATAACTGAAAGAGGTATCAATCTTTTCTTCTTATTAAAAGGAAATGACCAACGATTTATTTGAATCCCATTAAAACAGATGCATACGAAACATATTATGTTTCTCATTCTCACCATGAGACATTTTACACAATCACACATAGTTAATATACTCTGCTGATACAATGGGGTACTTGTTTTCACTACTATGTTTTGTTTATGTTTGGATCAGTGTATGTGTGTGTAAAGCTCTAAGGTTTCTGCTTAGTTTCCTGTACAGGTCATCATAGCAAATTCTTATCATTGAAATGCAAAAAAGATTGACTATGGGTATGTGTTGTTCTAGAAACATTCACTAAAGGCTGCCCAGAGTGGAAGGAATGTGAGAACAATCCTCCTCGCTCTTTTTGGAAAAGACTCTCAACTGCTGTAAGTTATCAACAAGAATTCACTATTTTTGCCAAAAATACAACAGTCAGAAAAAGCTGAACCTGTAAAACCCTCTCTTTTTTTATAAAAAGACCTCTAAACAACCATGTTGTTTTCCAAATTGTACCGGATAAAAAAAAGAGCAAGGAAAACTTTTGAAGGCAGTGCAATTAGTTTTGTTTAACAAGGCAAGGCATGTTTATTTATGTAGCACTTTTCAATTCAAAGTGCTTTACAAAAATGAAACACATTAAGTGCATTAAGAAATAGTGCGGCGGAAACACATTTTAAAATGGCATCTAAAAACAGGGTTTAGAAAGCAAAGAGAATAACATAAACATAAAATAATCGTATTTCAAATACATGAATAAAAGTAACAGTGCAGTGTAAGATATGAATAGTTTGATTAAAAGCAGCGACAAAAAGAAGCCTGGATATAAAAGTATTGAGAGTTGCAGCGGACCCGCAGGTTTCCTGGAGTTTGTTCCAGATATTTGGAGTATAATATCCATAGACTGTATATAAAGATAATATCGGAAAGCTGCTTCTCCATGTTTAGTTCTGACTCAGAGGACAGAAAGCAGACCCGTCCCAGAAGACCTGAGAGATATGGGTGGTTCATAATTTAGAAGGAGATCAGAAATGTATTTTGGCCCTAAACCCTTCAATGCTTTATAAACCAGCAGCAGTATTTTGAAGTCAATACTTTGACGGACAGGAAGCCATGTCTAGACCGCAGAACTGGAGTGATGTGATGTTAGTGAGGACTCGAGCAGCAGCGTTCTGAATGACAGTGAATTCCTATGGAAACACAATGATCATAACAATGTTTTGTTGCTGCAATATGAAAAAATAAACCAAATTCCGTGGATTGCAATGGAGCTTCTGCTCCATAAATCCTAAATGTCTATATTTCAAAAGGAAATTGTTGGTCTGTAGTGTAAATCTAAAATTGCATTTACTCTAACTTCATCTTCCTGTAGTTTGCAGATTTTGCCCGTGAGGATGTCACAGTAATACTAGACGGATCAATCGACACACCATTTGATCCTGAAAGGTGAGCACCTCTAATGCTGCCCACATTTTTATTTAGGGTCGGAAAATTCCTTAGCTGACCTCTAAATGATCATGGTTCTGCTCCGAATCACAAATGTATGCAGATGTGTTAATAATGTAATGTTTTTCTTTTAGTTCATATATGAGGAATACATAATGTGCTGTGGTGGTTGCAGGTTGTTGGTTTGAAAATATTTTTTTTAAAGTTGTAATAAATCCTTTAAATGTATTTTCAGTACTTTTGCAACAATTGAGGTGAAGAGGATCAAATACCCCAAGGTGAAAAGCCTAACAGTTGTTATTGTCCCTCAAAAGTAAGATTTTCTCCATATTTGCAAAATTAATAAATGTTTTGTATGTGCTTCTACAGTGGTTTATTTTAGGGGTACAACACACAAATATGCAGAAAGTTAAACTTATGCAAGTAAAGCTGTTCCTTAGGTTTCGTCTTCTGTATCCTCCTCAGGTCAAACTGCAATATTGAATCTTTAAAGGCTTTAAAGAGTGCGCTGGTTCAAGGAATAACATATAACTGCAAGGAAGTGACTAAGTGAGTACAGCCTCTCTGTTTAAACGTGTTTAAATTCGAAATATATTGACCTTATGTTATTTGTTTCTTTGTATGCAGAGCTCAGATCAAGAAGTGCAGCTCCGATCCAAAGAGACCCATTGGGAAGTGTTGGTGATGACGTGTGAATGTTGTGCACCGACAGAAATGTTGAGATTTATGTTGTTTTTTGGTTGTATTGTCTTCCACTTCCTGTTTTGTTTTGTCACTCACCGTTTACCTGTCATTCCAGACTCATCAGCACCAGCCCCGGCCCTGATTGTTTCCACCTGTGTCTTGTTACCCTGTGTTTAAATTCCCCAGTCTCCCAGTGTTCAGTGTCAGTTCGTTTTTGTCTTTTGCCATGGTCAGATCTTTGCTCTTGTCTTTTGCCACAGTCAGGTCTATGCTCTCTAAGTGCTCTTGTGAAAGTTTTGATCCTCACTACGTGAGCATTTTCATTTTGTTCTCCATTTTTGTAGAGACCATTTCTTTGTTGTTCATTTTTGCTGTTCTTGAACAAATAAAGTATCTTACAAATACTTTACCTCTGTCTCCCGGGTCGTGCAATTGGGTCCTACCTCCTAAGTGTCTGAGTTCTTAACAGTGAACTCAATATCAGATTGGACTGTGTGACAAAATGACACAACAAGCCTTACAAATATTTTGCTTAGAGTTTATTTTTGAAAAGTCTTTTGTAAATTGAACAATTTGCTATTATACAGAACTTTAAATATACTGTATCATTATTTTTGTATGAGTTTGACAACATGTGAAATTACTCTTTTTTTATGTAAATGTCAATGACCCATTTTTAAAGTGACAATGCTGTTTTTTTAATCTTTTTTGCTTTTTAATTACGTTCAATTGACAATGTCGCTTGTATCGTTTTCTGCCTTTTTATATGAACACAATCTGAAAAGACCCTCAACATTATCGATCCTATTTTTTTGAATAAGTACATAGAGCAATGTTGATAAACGTAACAATGCATTTTGTTAAATAAATGAAAAATTATAAAAGAAAAAAACATTAAAATATGGAAGAAAAGAAAATGTGTTAATAAGGACAAATATGGGATTTATTAATAAATGTGAGAAAATAAAAGTGTTAATAACAATGTTAACTGTCAGTATATTTATCGTATGGCTTGATTTCTGATAAAATATCATGTTTTGCACGCTGAAATTGATCCTGCTATTAGATTCTGTTATTTTGATGGCAAAACCTGAAACAATATTTTAATAAAATGTTGGAGTGTAATGTTAAATTATTAAAAAGATCACGCAGCATTTTGACAATTTTGAAATGTGCAAACTTGTATAAATGAAAATCTGAGTAAAAAGGAAATTATTATTATTTAGGTTATCTGGTTTAAATACAAATAAATCAGCAATAATTATACACAACATATAACACAACAGGTAATCCTTAGTAAGTTAATCTGTGGTGTTACCTTAAGTAATACAATGAGTTATTGGGGCATTTCTCTGAAATCACAAAGATATGATTTACTTCTGAGAAATACACATGGTGTTGATGCTAAATATTTTTCTTTCTCTTTTGATTCATGTGAAACCGTAACCTATACGAAGATGTATGGTGTATGCACATATATTCAACCACTGAACCACCGAAGAGAATAGAAAGGGCTGATAAAAAAAGGACAACTTATTTTGCTTTTATATTTGCAGGTGTAGGCCACAAGTTGTGTGAGCCGAGGGCGTGTTCTCTGTGACACAGACAAGAACTTAAAGAGTGGAGTCGAGAGTGTGCTGTTTGATTATTGTGGCAGGAAGCAGGAGTCACGCCAAGTTCAGAAACAACCTTTTATTTCCTTTCTAGTGACTTGCTGCTGTGTGAGACTCACACATATACCGTAAACACACAGCTGTTTATGCTGGGAACACACTGAACAAGTGTTACATGCAGAAAGACCCCTTCCCTAAAACCACAACATGGGGTACTGAGACAAGTACTGTAATGTCAGTAAACATCGTCATAGTTTTAGTCACTCCACCGACACTACAATGCCAAAAATAATCTTTATAGCAGTAGAGGATAACATGTGTTGCATTGAATATACACATTTACATGCATTCCGTCTAATTTACAACACGGTAACTGGTTACTGGTAACTTGTTATTTAAAGTATTATGAGTTTGGAATCCATGATAAGACAATATTTGTACAAGAAATATGATGCTAGCCAACAAGCGCTTAGCTTAGCATAAAGACTGGAAACAGGGGGAAACAACTAGCTAGCTTTGCTCTCTCTAATAACAACAATCAACACATTATATTTTTGTTTTGTTAAGCCAATGTTAAAAACTGAAAGAAAACCTTGTAGTTTTATTGCAAGGCAAGTGCATTCCTGGAATCTTGGTTGCCATGGCAGCCAAATGATGGCCTAAGATTAGGGTGCGTTTGTTTATCCAATCTGATGTAAGGAAACTGTTTTTGTTAGAAGGAACAGAGTGTTCTATTTCTAAATGAATTACTGAAAGGGTTGGTTAAATGCATGAAAGGAAAACTTTTCCATCGATATGTGTAATTTAAAAAATGTAGTGCCTCTTGCTTATCAGTGAATAGCCTTAGATGATTATAATGAGACATGATAACAATATGTCTATGAAAATAAATAGGTAAGTCACTTCTGTCTCCTCAGCTCCAGAGTCCTCTCTGCCACTTCCAGTGTGAGCTCCTCTGAATAAATAAATAAATGATAGCCTACATTCCATCCAAGCTTTAAATGAAAGGTCAATTTTGAGTGCTCTTCGGTACTCAGAGTGACTATATTCGAATGCAGCCACTTTTCATATGACTCTGCAAAAAGTAGAGTCATATAGGCCTACTGTAGGAACAGCAAAAAGTGAATCAGAATATTTCCCAAATTACCTTCTTAATGATCTAGAATTAGGTCCTGAACTTCCAAAGAATTGCTTCCAAACACAATTATCCTTCAAAAAGCAACATATCTTCTCAGTGAAACCAAATCATTTCTAAATCCATACAAGACAGACTAATCAACTTTGTACTTTTAAGCCCCAAGGTCCCCGCCGGCGCGGACCCTGTTTTTTTTTCCAGGACACTGTGTCTCAGGGGATCTTAATATTTAAGAACCTATTAATGTGTTATACCAGATTAACGGAAATAATCTCAGCTAACTGACGATATAAACCATTTTTACCAAAACAAAACACAAGTCTCATAAGAAGCATCTAAATGACCCCTTAGCGAAAAATGCTAACGGACATTGGCACAGAACTCAAGATAAAAGTACCCTTATTACTTATCGTAGCTGCACATACAAGATATCAGATTAAAGCTGAGGTTCCACAGATTATTTAGGTATATAGTATCATCACTGAGTGATCCAAACTTGCGACAGGGGAAGCAAAGACAGACATCACAACACGTACCTTTACGTAGCTTCTAGGGAGATCGTCTCACCGTAGCTGTTAATCTGATCAAAAGACGTGTTCAATGGCATTAAAACGAGAAAAAACGCGGCTGAATCGGTTAATCCATAGGTTGATAAAGTTTCTGGGCAATAATTGGAATTATTTATAATCCATAATTCCATTTTTATGTAAAAATCGCAGAGCAAAAGTTAGCTGCTAATGGTAGCCACCAGGGTGGCTGCTGCTTCCGGTCTTGGCTATGCGGCAGTATAATACACACACATGACCAAATAAGGACTATGTGGGAGTTCCCCTCGATTCCATTGGCTCTGACGGTTAGAAAGAGATGTCACATGTCAAAATCCAGCAGGGGGAGCCAGAGATATGAAAAATCCACCCAAATGGCCCCAGAAGAGGTTTTTTTTTGCTAAATCTGTCTAAAAAGGTCAAATATCACTTGTTTTGCATCAATCTTGGTGTGCCTTGGCAGTCTCATGTTGTACTTTGGATTCCTAAAGCTTTTAGTCTACTAACCCATCATCCAAGGTTAGTTTTCACTATAAGTACAAAATATCTTTTGGACGGACACTATAATTTACAGTTTTTTACCATGTTCAATCTGAATTTTCTTTAAAATAAAAAACATCTATATTGAATCTGACTTTTCTTCATCCAACTCACAGGTTTATCATTACTTTGAGAAAAAAGATTATTAATTTAACCCTTTTAGAAGGGAAGATATGGTCATTTGTTCTGGGAATGTCATTTTCGAGCCTGAAACCTGAAAAACAGGCTCGGGGTTTAACAGGTTAAAAATTTCAATATCATATTTCCTCCTCCTATATCAGTGTTGTTTTTTGCAACTAAATACATTTGTGTTGGCGTTGGCACTATTGGCTTTCACCAATATATTAACATCCTTGTTAGGGAGGACTGTGTCTTTTATTTTGTACTTATTGGTGAAGTGGGATATCCCACAGTACCCAGCTGAAACCTTCCCAACATCTGCAAAAAACAATGGCCTAAGTAAAAACAAAAACAAAAAAATCCACAAAAGGAATATTTTTGGTTGTAAAAGTCTCAGAGGGGGAACTATGTTGCCTGTTTCCCTTTGGTCATCACCTGATATAAAAAAGAAAAGTGTGGGGTTGAATCTTTAAAGTTAATGCATTTTGTAAAACTACCTCCAGCAGGAACCCTAAGATATGTTTCTAGAAAGAATAAATGAGCAGTCATGGGTGGAGTGAGTCTCCTGCTGAGAGCCTGTTACCGGAGGAGGAGGAGCACTGCGTATTTTCCCCGCTCTGTCTTCCCTGAAACAAGACTGTTCTTCTGAGTCAACAGATTGAGTAACATGATAGAGCCTGCGATATGTGTGATTTTCCCACAGCCCACAGCATATGTGCTTTTTTTGGTGGGACAGTTTCATCTTGACATGTTTTTTTTAAACGTCTTCCGGTTTCTTAGTGTGAGAATGTAAACCAACCAGGAAGAAAACGTAGGCTACACTGTAAAAAATAAAAATAAAATGTAGGCATAAACCATAAACTCATCTCATTTCACTGGTATTTCTCATTTACTTATTTTCAAAAAATCTTGAAGCAATCATATTTTGTACATGTTTATTTTGTACATAAATCGTTTTTTTTTCTTTTTGCATGCGATTATGTAGCCTATATTTTTTTTCTTCCATTGTTCAATTCGTCAAATGAATGTTTTAAGTCGAGTTTCCCTTGAAAAAGACAAGAAAACGATTAAGAAACGACAGTCTATCTCATATTGCTTATAAGAAAATGTAAATAGCATTCATTAAAGTTATTTCCATGTGTAATTTATTGCAGTGGGGAGTAAGATATTTTCTCTTAGTCATCGATTCTTAGTGTACCATGAACGCATCGCTAATTACCGCTCGTGCTGCTGATACTTGTACTTTCCTTTCCTTCAACAGAGTTGTCAGCGGCCCTGCCCCTGAATACACCTCGCCACGCGAGGGAATCCCGGCATGTGATTGGACAATGCCGGCTTCCCCACGTCATTCAGGATCCTGGTATAAAGTGTGCGGTACAAGGAGTCACTGCTTCAGAATCCAGCTGTTGTGGAGGACACGAGAATCTGACAACATGGTGAGGGTCTTAGTGATTGTAATTGTGTTTTGTGTGTCTGCATCCATCTTTAAGATTTAAGAACTTTTAAAATGGCTTCATAGGATATACTCCTGTATTCATGTTTGTTGTGTTAAATTAAGTGGTTTAAAGATAGTTCCACGTGCAGCCTGACTTTAGGCGGTGTGAAATTATTCACATCCTCTGCGTGGGTTTGACATCAGCTGTGGCATTTTATGCACGTTGTAGTAACGTCATAATTGTATTGTTTATTTTTGGCTTTATTAGGCTTGATTTATGAATTAGATTATTATTTAAAAGGTAAAATATTAGCTTTTATTTGCAATGTATCATTACCACATGTATTGATATTTATTTAGTTATTGTTGTATATATCATTTGATTCATTTATGCTTAATAACATTTAATAGCCTATCATTTATAAGATTTTTTATTTTGTATATTTGCATCAGGTCAGCATTTAGTTTAGTTGCTAATGGTGAGGGTTTTTGTATTTATGTTACATTTGTACTAATATAAATGAATTTTTATTATTTTATTAATGATTCTCTTTAAGTAGTATGTAAACAACAAATCAGTTAGCCATATAGGCTATATGTATATATTAAAATAAACATTTTAGATAAAAACATTCTAAATATCAATAAAGTTTAAGATCCCCTGCAGTCAGATTTTCTTTTTCATTGATTCCTTTCATATTAATGTTTGATAATGGTTTAAAATGGCTTTTATGTATAAAGTACCTGCTCCTCTGTTCTTTGACAGTTACAACAAGCAAACCCAATGGACAGGCCAGCTGTGGAGAGATCACAGAACACAGACCACAGACGGACACACAGACTGTATCCATCACTGCCAGGCATAAACAGGTCAGGAACATCCTTTCATTTCATCAGATATTATTACTGCATGCATATTTATTTTTGATTTACTGGCCTGCAGTGGTTGAAGAAGTACTCAGATCCATAATTTAAGTTAAAGTTAAAACAGTCGTTTTACACAGTACCAACATAATGTACTCAATACAATTTTCAATTCAGGTGTTTTACTTAAGTATAAAGAGCAAAAGTACTGATTGTGCACAGTGACTCTTTTTAAAGTGTTATATTATTAAAGAATATTATATTTTGTGATTGTTATATTCTGTTAAAACTTATAAGTGCATGTAGGAGCATTTTAATGTTCAGCATTGTGGAGCAGAGTTTATAATACAGGGTGAATTAGTATTGCAACCTATAGGAGCATTTGTTTTTTTATGTTAAAGTTAACAATAAGTCTTCAACAAGTTCAATATTGGCCTGTGAAATGTTGAGGAATAAAGTATAGAATGAGAACACTTAAGTGAAGTACAAGTCCGTACAAATTGTACTTAAGTACTTAGTTGCACTTATTTATGCTATTAATTAAAGGCAAAATACTGCAAAATTGTCCTTTTTGTTTACGTGATTTAATGTTTTTCAGGCATGATGTTTGTGTGGCAGTTCGCTCATCTGGAGAAAGGCCTCATTCCGCTGCAGTTCATCTTCCCGGGAGCCTGCTGAGAGACAATCAGGTAAAAAAAACAGATGCAACCTTGGAAGATACGTCTGAGAGGATAATCACTCTCACGCTGTCACAATCTGATTCCCTAACCTCAAAGTTAGACCATGTTCTTTGTGTTACTGGAAACACTCAAAAGCAAAACTTCCAAAAATGTGTAAAAGGAAGTTAGTGGATACATTTAAATTGCATAATTGTCAGTGCAGTCATAGCTGTACAATCCGTGTGCCACATTTGAACAGTTCCTCTTTTATTTGCTTCAGTCAAAAACTTCGGCTGCCAGCAGTGATGTCAGAATGAAAGCCCGGATATGTATCTTGGAAGAGCAAAGGCAGGAGGTGAGTACATTTCAGAAGTTAGATTATAATCATCCAAAACACACATTTTCCTTTCAGTACCTAAAACATTCATGTTCTTTTTCTTTCACTCAGCTTCTGTGCATTAATGAGAAATGGGCAAAAGAGTACCACACCATGGTACGATACTACAAAGAAAGGGTAAATTCACAGTCCTGAATTTATTCAGCATTTGTCAGTGTCTACTTTTATGTATTTGCAGTGCCTTCATGTTTTGTGTCATGTGTCGTTTTCAGGTTCAGGATTTAAAAACATTACTGCAACATGATTCCCTCGCAGTGGAGATTTGTGAAGGAGGAAAGAACGTCACATCAAACAAGAAAGCTGAAGATAAAGAGAACACATGGGTAAATACAGAATTCATTTTAATTGAAGATATAATTTAAAGGTCTCCTATTATACTATTTCTCAACAATATATTATAGGTCTCAGATATATACAAAACATGTCTCTGAAGTGTTTGGCTTGAATTACAAACAGATTGTGCATTGTAGCATGCCATAAACCCCTCTGTTTCAGCCCTGTTTTAAAAGTGCTGATTCTGTGTCTGTACCTTTAACTGCTAATGAATTGCTGCTGGCCACGCCCCTCTGTTAGATGATTGGTTTAAAAAAACGTAATGGTTCTCTAGGAGGGGATTATAAGGAGGCCATAAGGTGGGCGGATGTTACCCTGGTTGGTTATTGGCTAACAACCCCAAAAAACATTGTGACATCACAAAGTGGCCAAAATCTGAGCAGCTAATCTTTGAACAGGTTTTATTTATAAATGTATCAGGACAAAAGGAGAGAGAATATTTTTTCCTGAATCTTTCCTCTATGAGGGGACACATTTATGTATAAAAGACATGGAAAAGTGCATTTTGCATAATAGGTGACCTTTACATTTAAATTATCTGTAAAAGTGTGTATGATAATTTAATCCTTGTGGACATTTTTTCAGACTGGTGAGGAAATACTAAAAGCAGAAAAAGAGGCAGAGGAGCTGCGAGCACAAAACAACACTCTGACCCGGAGAGGGCAGCATCAGCATGAGGAGATCCTAAGATTGAACAAGGTGAGTCCAAATTGTTACATATCATAATGAGGGCCTTTTGAGAGTTTGTTCCCTGCAACAACAGTGGTTTAACAGCTGCTTTAATATGTTTGTCCAGGCGCTAGAAGAGGCTCTTCAGAATTCTAATCCTCTCGATGCTAGCAGTGGAACACTACAGGATATCTGGAAACATCAGGTAAGCTTTCTTCATCATCATAGTAATGTATTTCTTATGTATGTGCTTATTTTTGTTTTATTTGAGTTAGGTGAGAAGACTGATACAACTCAGATGTTTGTATATAAAATATGAAGCTACAGGGCAGAGGGCTCGTAGCTTAGCTTAGCTTAGCTTAGCATAATGTCTGCAGTAAGGGGAAACTGCTTGCCTGGCTTTGTACGTAAAATCCACGTACAATAACCTTAAAAGATTTCTAGTAAACATGCTATTATGTTTTTTTGTTCAACTCTCAGACTGCTGTTTGTCTCTGTTTCCAGTCTTTATGCTAAGATAAGCTCATTTTAAGCTAATAAACATGAGAGTGCTTGGTATCAATCTTAACAAAGGACAGTATTTCCCAAAATGTTGGTCAATTCCTTTAATGGTCTTGCTCAATTGAATCTTTATATAATGTTTTCTTATTGTTCATTTTCAGGCCCAGGTTTACAAGGAAGACTTTTTGACGGAGCGCAGGGACAGGGAGAAGCTGAAGGAGAAGAATCTGGAACAGGAGAACAAATATAGAAAAGTTCACAGTGAGCTACGTGTCCTCAAATCTCAGGTACAACACACAAGAATATGCCTGTTTTCTGCCTATTTCACTTGTAAAAAAAAAAGGCATAGAAATTTAATATTTTGTATCTCTCTTTTCCCAGGTGGCTCGAACACCACAGCCTGCACTTGAATGCACCTGCACAAATAGAGCCACAACTCCAAACTGGGAGGTCCACGAGATTAACGAGAAACACATCCAACTACAAAGACGTTACACTTAACAACAAACTCTGAAATTCAACATCCTCCTCAGATCAGAGTTCATCATTAACAATGTGAGACTTTGGTTTATCAGGCAGGACAACATCAAGGAAGTGAGCTCTGTTCTGCTTCAGTCCTTGGACGACTGTCTGCTGCAGATTCAGATTCAGGTAGTTTTTGTTTTGGTCGCAAAGAGGCCAATCCACTAATCTGGGCCCATTTGGAGACCTAGGAATGAAATGCAAAATAAAACCCCACTAAGACTGGGAAATAGAAATGTGAAAGCAATGTGAACTAGTAGACTAAACACTTCCTAAGAGGAAAAAAGCAGCAAAGAATGAAATAAAATACTCTACCCGCTGCGTGCAAAGTTTGCTATGTACGCCATTGCAAGCTTACTTAGTTCCTCTTCTTCTTGTGACACATGTCCTATGGAGGAATACGAATTATTGCACATCCATAACACTATAGACTTTATCAAAAGTCCAAAAATAAGGCTTGTTTCCAGTACCTGTAACCACAGTGTGTCCGGTACAAAAGCAGGCTCCGAGAAAAAACAAAGCATCATCATCGTGGTCTGCTTTGACAAAAGTGGGTCTTGTGCCTTCCGTGCATCAGAGGAGAATGTTGAAATTGGTACACGTACACAGGCACGCCCGCGTCTGGAGAAGGAATTAAATGCAAATCATGTTGTAATGATGAGGTTTGTGATGGAGTCACCGCAAATTACCTCTGTGCTATGAAGCCACTTTAAGAACAGGAAGAACGAGCACCATGTCACCAAGTATCTCTGGGAAAACGTCACGTACGCTCTCTGGAGAGTCGGCCTGTCGCAGGTGTTCATTCAGTATTAGTTCATTTGCACCTAAGGCCTGTCAGAGGAAATATAGAGGTATAGGAGAAGGAGAATTAATATGTATGAACATTTTTTTTGTATATTTATGAATACTTGAAGGATTTTTGGTTTCTGTTTGTTGTTTATTTATCATGGAAATAAAGCGTTGAATATGAATGTGTGTTGAAAGTCACTTACACGGCCGGGAAAGAACATGTTCATCACTGATATCACATTCTCCCTTTTCATACCATGATCCCACCCAGGAGGTCCTAGGAGCTAAATATAAGTACATGATTTCTACACAAAATAAACACTATTACCAATGTGTCATTTATATGTTTGGGAAATTACCAAACAAATGACATCCATTGTGATTAAAAAAAAAAGATATAAAGGGTCTTGCCATTGTACCTTTGGGAGCATCCATCCAAATTCATGATTGGTCAGTCCTATCGTAATAGGAACCTTCTGGAATTCTTGATGATTTAAAACTTCCTCAGGTGGGCCTTTCAGGAACACACCGTCAATGGCTGGACCTTAAACTGAAATATAAAGGCAGACATCACCTAAGCATACAGGGTTTATCATATAAAGGATGGTCTGTGATCACATAACCCTTTAGAAAAAAAGAGTCCAGAAATACTTTATCTGGAAACAAATGCAACTTAAAGAGGTAATACAGTAAAATGAAGTTTAAAACTGCGATGAATAGGATTATTTTGTCAATAGTCCATTATGTCCACCAGCTCTCTAACAGTGTCAGTCATCTGTTCGGCTCTGAGCATTTGGTGAACAGTTGGTTGTTCATGCTTTTTTCACTGCTAAAAATACACCATGAGAGTGGGGAGAGTCAACCAAAACACACAAGCTTTAGATGGTCGTGGACCTTTTTCTTTTGGATATATGAAATAGAGTCAACCAACCAATATATTGCAAAAATAGCCAATCAAATATAAGTGAAAATGTGGGACATATTAACATGCTTTAACTTGAATAGTTTGACAACATGATTGTGCCTCCCATTAGACCAAACATAACCCTACTAAGGTAAATCAAATAGCGAAGGCAAGTGACGTTTACATGAATCAAGTCAAACAGCCCTGCATAGTTGACACTGGTAAATCCAAACCACACCTTGAAGATATCCGACTAAATCTAAGATAATCTTACTTCCTTAACAATTTTTTGCAGTGTAGAATTCAGTGGTCTTAGGGGCCCTTCTTCTGATTTTGATCACCAAAAATACCCTGTTCAGCTTTAAAAAGGCGCTCAACTGACTTCTCCGAAATGTTAGGAAATTAAAAAACAATACACAGTACTGTACTGCTTATTGTACCTTCTTCATGGCGCTCAGTATTTCCTCCTCAGACCGGCCTTTGATACACTCGACAAGCTTCTTACTGTTGCTGCTCTCACAGTCAGACAGATTGGCTATCATCTGCAGGAGGGATTGGTGGAATAAAAATAATATCAGGGAAAAGTAAATGTTTTAGTACCTGAGACATAGCCAGTTGATTGCTGGTGTAATGAGCTTCCAGTGGTGCCACTCCACTCATGGCGATAGCTTTGTGGAATAAATCCTCAGCTAATGGAGACAGTACCTGCACAGAAACATGTGTTACAAGTCTGTATTCCATATCTTAAGTGAATTATTCACCTTTTTCTCACCAGCATAGAGACACTGATGCCATTGTCCAAAGATGGTCACTGAATTAGGGTCTCCATTAAAGGCCGCTATGTTGTCACGAACCCACTGAAGGCCGGCTATTTGATCCAGGAAGCCCCAGTTACCAGGTGCATGCTGGTCACCCGTGCTTTTTTAAAACGACAACAATACATTATGGTGGAGGGATAGCCACAACATTATAACCTACTTTCACCTCATGTTAGCATCAGGAGCGCAGAGATATCTAGGACCTCTATAGACCTCTACTGGCAAACAGAAGGAACTACAATTACTAACTGTTTTTTAAAATGGCAAATTACTTGTACATCTGTATTATCGCTTAATAGCTAACTTTATGATGAACTACTAAGGCTGTTTTTTATTTAAATAACTATATTATGACGATTTGACACCTTATGTTTCCTATTTAAACAAGTTTTTGGACGATAAACCGAAAATGTTAAATGTATCTGAGTCTGAAACGTACCTTAGGAATCCCAAAATACTAAGGTGATATTGTATTACAACCACAACCCTGCAGCCAGGCCTCCCCATGGATCCACACCATCACCTTTACAACAAACAAACCGGAATTACTCAAACTGAACACATTCTCTGTGATCTTTGTATTTAGTTTGAAGCAAATCCCTGTTTTCCATTCATTCAGCTGAACACTCATTCACTCCATGCAGCTGATCAGTACAGTCATATTTTATTACTGTTGCATATTCTGCTGAGTCATTATATGTGTGCTGTGCACGTGAACTAACAGGCAGTTTGTCTCCTGGGGCAGTTCCAGTAGGTCTGTACACATTAAGATAAAGGCAGCCCTCGGATATTTCTACTGATGGATACGTCAGTGGGAAGGTTTTCCACGCTTCCTCCACAGGTGATGTATCCTGCAGACACAGAAAGTCTGATTCAAGCCATGATTATTTTGAGCTACATGCTGTTGTTTAGCACGTATAATGTTGACCACGTAAACCACATTAGTTTTGTGTGCGATCGTCACGCTTAACACAAACCACAACTGAGGCTGATGGGAATATTATTAGTATTGCAGATCGCTACAGAGAACCAAAGTGAAACAGGAAGTTCTCTGTTCTGTTTTAGGAGTAGAAAAACCTCATCCAAAATCCCATTGACGTTAGCAATGAGGCTAATCACCAAACTACATTAATATTGTGTGTTTATTCATAGGTTAAGGACATGTATTGTTCAGATATTTCTTCATAAAAGCAGAATTTGATTATAAACTATGATACTTCGTTTTGATGACACAAAGTCTTGACCCTAACCTGCACATTTTTATGTGCACTATAATTTGTTGTGTACTGATTTTTGTTTAAATCAAACTTATTATAGAAAAAACAGTACTTGGATGCTCTTTGTCTTAAAATAGACAATTTGTCTTAGGTAAGTAATCTAAACGTATGGTTATTCGCTTAGTTAGTAAGAGATTATATTAAGATACAGAGGCTCCAGCAAAAACAACCCTTGTGTATACTCACATTTTAGGCATTTTAGTTGCATCCCTCACCCCATCCCAGGGCTCAGCTGGCTGGGGGGCAGCAAACCTCAAGGGCCCCACAGGTGGATGAGCGAATGGGATGCCTAAATACTCCTCAACCTGCTGCTCTACACCTTTCACTGCTGTGTAATGTCCTCGCACAGTGCCAGATTTTAGAGTCACTTCAGGTCCAGAGCTCTCTAATACACAGAAGCACAGAATGTCTCAAAACAAATTTGATTAAAAGTCAATTGGATCAGTATGGAGATTATCTGGTTTTACTTTGTGTTGTTATTATGTCGTATACTTGCCTGCTTGAGCCAAGGAACGCCGAAGGAGCACAACAATAAGGAACAGGTGGAGGAGAAGGTTTCCCATAGCTGACAGGAACTATAACTGCAGGAATAATGACTTACATACACACTTAAATAACTCTGAAGCCTTAAAACCAGAGTGCAAAGTTGATATTTATATCTGAATGATACCTTGTAGACATTCGGTGGTGAACACCTAAGGTTACAAGCAGAAAGCACTGCCCTTTGAGCCCAACACACACACACACACACACACACACACACACACACACACACACACACACACACACACACACACACACACACACACACACACACACACACACACACACACACTCCTCAAAACATCCATATATGGTTATCCTGGATATGTACCCAGTTACCTTAATGACTCACAAACATGTGCAGGCTTAAATCCTCTAAGACTGTGAAGAGGAGTTCAGTTAAACACCCACAGTTGGATTTTGAAGAAGTTTATTGGCACAGTTATAGCAGCAATGTGTTTATTCCCAACAACAGTTTGTTTCTATTGGGCTGTCAAAAATCTCTGGCTAATAGTTTAATATACAGGAAATGAAAAAAAAAACAGGATGAGCTCAGTTGAAGTGATTGTCAACACAATTGCATAAAGTGCATATGCAACATAACAAAAGTGAAACTGCAAATTTAAGTCGCCAAATCTTATTTGTAGGTACATCTCAGTGGTTGAATCTGAACCTGTTTATAAATATATGCAGTAATGAATGATTATGGTATTCTAAGGCCGTATGGTGTTGAAATATAATATTTCATTGCTTTTACATGGTAACACAACTGTACCAAGTGCTCATGTTGTTACATTGTAATGTGTGATGTCGAGAAAAGTCAAATACTGAAACACTTCTCTGCCTTTTTACAGATAAATAGGTTAAATACAGTCTATGGAAGTAATCTCAGCCCTAACAGCCACCAAGCGGAATTAAAGAGTCAATTTCTGGCCAGTATTGCACACCAGTTCTGACGCATCGGCCTCTGAACTCTGCCAACTCCGGAGCAGGGAATATTAGAACATCCACTTGTCAGTCCAAGAACTCCCCTGCCTTTCAGTAGAAAGCGGGGTTTGTGTGCTCGATGACGCAGCGCCGGCAGTGGCGTCTCACGAAGCGCAGAGCCTCTGGCGACACCTCGCAGTCCTGCACGTTGAGAAGCTGCAGCTCGCAGCAGTTGGCAGCCAGAGCTTTGAGTCCTCGGCCTGTCACACTCTCGCACGCTCTGAGGCTCATTCTCCTCAGGCCTTGGCAGTACATAGCCAGCTGCTCCAACCCGCTGTCCGACACAAGCGGGCACTTACCCACGTCCAGGGACTTGAGTTTGGGGCAGCTCCTGGCCAAGTGGCTCATACCGTGGTCTGTCAGCCCCTCGCAACCTCTGGCATTCAAATAGCGCAGTCTAGGGCAATATCGAGCCACGTAGCGCATTCCTACATCAGTTATACGGGTGCAGTGGGCCACACTCAGGTAGCGAAGGCAGCCCTCCAGGCGGGCGACTTCACGCAGGCCGAAATCCCCCACCAGGCGGCAGTCACTGAGACTTAGCTCCTTTATTGATGGGCAGTGGAGAGCCAGGTGGCGCAAGGCTTCATCCGTCAGTCTGATGCAGCGGCGCAAATACAGATGTGTCAGGCGGGGGCAGTGCGAGGCGATAGTTCGCAAGCCCTCGTCCTCCAGGGAAAAACAATCGGTCATGTCCAGGTAGTGGATGGAGATCTGCTGGCCGTGAAGAGGGGACAGCTGCAGGGAGGCCTCCTGGGTAAGGCTGATACATGTTACCTTGGAGCAGCCTGGAGGAAGAGGAAGCAGAGGTTGTCAGTTCAAAGACAATTGGTTTATGACTAGGAGATTGTTTTTGTTTAAAGGATAAGTTCACAGGTGACCAATTGGTTCACATGACCAATTCATTTTGGAGGTGTAATTTCAAACTTAAAAAGACTATAGACTGCTTATTCAGAATGCTAAAATTATTTATTGCCAGAGGGAACAGGAGGAATAACTACAGCAAGAACAAAGTGGGTTTTGTTTTAAGACTAACTTTTCTTTAGCAAAATTCCACTTTTGAAGCTCTAAGCCCTGCCACTGGGGGGCGCCAGAGTAAAACCTGCTGTATTTGGATGCATGCCTGTAGCTAGTAGCATGAGTGCATTCAAGAAAAACAAAATTGTGGTCGGTTTTCTGAAAAAATAAATAATCTAAGGCCGATGTCCTTACCAGATAAAAAAACACTTGATTTTCATTATTGTATTCCTTTCAAAGAGAACCACAAGTTTCTTTAAAGTCTATTTTTACAACAAAGGGCTCACTTCCTGATGCTAATGGTGCAGACTCTGCTCTGCCGCGAGAGTCCAGTCCAAGTCAATGTTATTTGTGTCACTTCCTTAATGAAAGCAGCAGACCCCTCTCCTTACTCGCGTTGAGGTAAGTTTTGCTTTCAGCTAAGAGAGCCTTTCTTCTCCCACATGGGAGCTTAAGGTTGGCAGAGCTTCTCCTGCTCCTCTAATGATTTCACCAGCTCCAGTGGAAATGAAGAGAGAGATTGAAGAGAGGTAAATCCACACATGTGCGTGATATAGGGTAGTAGTAATAATTCTAGAAGAGCCAACCATTAGACACCAATCGTGGTATTGTGTAATAGGCTAGATAAGATGCTATAGATTTTTTGCAGAGGTTCTGCAGGACGGCCATGTTTTTTTTTGCCGGCAACTGGAAGCTTTATGAAATTGCCTTGATCCTTATTTTTCATATATAATTGTGCCATTTGGATTGTCTATGTCAGGGGTGTCAAACGGGCCAAATCCGACCTCATTTTGTGTGGCCCGCAAGAGCTTGCGAATAATATAATATACAATATAATTGGTGTAATTGTTGAATATTTGCTTTCAATTATTTGCCCTAGACTTCTGCTTTCAGACGTAGTTATGTATGAAGTTATTAACAGAACTGATAATAGTCCAATGCAGAGCACATAATGTAATATAATACATTACTTAATATATATTATATAGGCCTACGTATATTTATATAGCCTATAGTTTTAAAGTGACAACTGGCCCTTTGAGTGCAACCATAATGTGGCCCACAATGAAATTGAATTTGACACCCTTGTAATTTTACTATGTTTTTATTCTGTAACCTCACATATATTACCCATCTATCTTCCTGGGAGACGGATCTCTCTGCTTGGCTTTCGTGAAGTTCCTTCAATTTTTATTGTTGGGTTTCTTTTGGGGAGTTTTCCTTACTATATTAAAAGGACAGCGGGTGTCGCATGCTGTACCGATCTTAAAACCATTTGTCACATTGGTCTGTTTCAAGACATTATGATTGATTAGTTAATTTATTTGTACCTGAGAGGTTTAGGTGTTCCAGGCCAGGGCAGCGGGACACCACCTCAAACACAGCATCGTTGGAGATGTTGTAACAGCCAGCGACCTCCAGGCGACGGAGCTCCGGGCAGCACTGAGCCACCACATGAAGCCCCCGGTCGGTGAGCCTTTTGCAGCCGTTCACCACCACCGTCTCCAGGGTCAGACACACGTTGGGGGTGTCCTGGCACAGCCGGTGGGTCAGCACCCTGATGGCGCGGTCGGCATGGAGAAGCTCCCCTGTTAGCCGTACAGTGCTCCACAGCCTCGGGTCCCACGCCAGATTGTACCAGCGGCGGCATACTCGAGCGCAGCGGCACAGCTGATTGGTGGGGAGGTGGGAGAAGATCTGCAGAAAGGTGAGGTCAGGGAGGAGGTCAACGAGAGCGTGGTGGTGGGTTTTGGACTGGCGGGAGCGTGTGTGAGTGCCAGGCTGAGAGTGGACCACGGCAACGGTTTCAGCGTGGGCAGAGGACGAGGAAGAGGAGTGAGTCTCATGGCCGTTACTGGAGAGGGCAGGTGAGGAGAGAGAGGAGGACTTGGATGGGAGGATGAGACCGGGGCTGGGGGTGCTCAGAGTCCGAGTGCTGGAGTCTAAACCTGAGAGGAGGACAAGAAAGATATGTCGATATGTGAATGTTCTCATGTCCAATCTTCCTTATGATCTTGCAAACCATCAGATTTGAACCTCTTCTTAAACATTCTCTCAGCCATATCACATCTTAACTTGACAAGGATACAGCTGCTTAGCCTGATAGAGAAAAGCTATGATATTTTCCTATTACAAAAGGAATAAACAATTCACAAATCTGAATTGTGTTTTAAGCAGTCTCTGGAGTCTACCTGTTAAACCATTGCTGGTTTAAAAAGTTATATACACAAGGTTTTTTAAGTTGAACCTGAAAAGGCAATGACAAAAAAGAAATCTCAACATTTTTCTACAACATTAAGTAATACAGTATATCTGCCCCTAACTTTTGCTTAATGGCCAAATTAAAAGCTGTGAAATTGGAAGCCAACTTGAAAACCATCCTTAAATGTACACTAGACAGTTACCCAGCCTCTATAAAAGAGGGGAAATCCACCTTAACCTTTTTAATATCATCAATGATGTTGAAAGTATTCCAGAAATAACATGGCAATGAAAACTGTCATTTCACTTTTCACTTTATTTCCATTCAATCTGACTCATGCACTTTTCATTTCCTTGAATTGCTTTCTGACAACTAATAAAACAATGACCGTACTGTCATCTGTGGGTTTCACAAAGGTGGAGAGAGCGGCTAATGGTGATCCTGTTAGTAAGACCATGCAACAAAAGAGTTTCCATGCATAAGGGTATTCCAGCAATTTAGTATTGGACTTACACATAGTTGGGGGACTCATATGAGACATATTGAAAAAACACTTGTCATAATTGACGAAGCAGAGGGGATATCCAGACTTTTAGGGCTGACTTTTCAAAGTGAGGCACTGTATCCATATAGCATAGGGAAACTCAATGTGCTTTACATTAAAGTGACATACGATTTTAATAAAACATCTAGGCCTTGTAGGGTCACATTGCAAAAACATAAGGTCCTACACTTCCAATAATGGAACCTACAGCATCCCTTCATTGCCTGGTAAATTGCAACATCTGTCGAACTCCATGCACCCAATTTGTAATGCAGGCTTGTAGACTCCAAGCCCTAACTGAGATAACCCTCTGGATTTTTGCTCAAGACTCATCAAAGCTCCCTTCAGAGCCACAGAAGACTTTAAACAGACTGAGTTTTACCAGAGAGTTGTACTTCACAGATTTAGCATTTCTTTTCTTGAACATCTACAAACACACTGCTTTTTCTCATATGCAGTCACACTCAGCAAGACCTGTTTACAGACTTTGATGTGTAAACTCCGCCTTGAACCAGATATATTGATAGACTTTCTTCTGGTCCTTTGAGGCTTCTGTCTGTGGCGACACTGGTTTTTCTTCTTCTTCTATGACATTTATTTAACTATTCAATGTTCTTTTTGAAGAACCAGCACCAGATCTTCACCGCTGCTGTTTCAAAACAATGAAATCATATTTGTCAGTTATTTGAGGGAATTGGGTCAGGGTTCGTTCTGATGGTGCCATAGCCTCACCAGCTTTTATCATCAAAAAAGAGGAGTTTCCATGGACATCGTTATCTTGTTTTGGGAAAAATGTGTTACATTTATCTTTGTGGCACTCACAGGGCCTCCTCATCAGATGCACTTTATGGCTTCAAAGCGACCAGCTGAAGAGTTTGGTGCCGGGGCTGACAATATACGATAAACCCTATGTAAACACTGAGGCCCTCCTGACAGATGTGCACTGATTACCGCCACGTCTAAAGACGCAGCTGCGAGAGGCGGTGGCTGGATCCCATCTCCGTGGCGTGAGACGGTGGAGCCCTCCGTCTCGTAAGCAGGGGTGTGGGGATCTGAGTCCTGGGCTCGAACCGTCACACCCGGACACGGACTGCTCCTCTCTGATGCTATCTGCCTCCACTCACCACATCTCCGAGTCATCCAAATCATGAAACTAAGCTGGATTGATAGTCATCACTAAAAGCATTTCAAGTAGTCATGAGTATTATGTCACTTACATCTGTCCAACAATGAGTGGGAAGGCTTTATGGGCATCTTTTAATATACAGATCATTCTGGATGTTTTAGACTTAGTTATGAAATGATAAGGATGGATCTAGTGTCTTAAAAAGTTAGTTATATATCATTTTCAAAGTAATAAGTTAGGACTATTATTCCAAAATACAATATACAAATTTGGTAAAAGGCATTTATCTATGTTTTTATTTTTAAATGTACACCTTTGACCAAATATTCCATGCATCTTTACGATCTCATGCAATGTATTCTGTGAGTCTTAAAATATGGGTAGAAAGGGCAAACTGTTACTGAGTTAAAATTGCTCTTCAAGTTATTATATAGATTCTAGTTTGCACTAGATATGTCACATAAGTCTGTAGGATTAACAATGTGATGGAGACAATAACAGCCATATATTAAAAAAACAACTTTAAATCATTTATTGGTTTATTTTGTCTTATCTCTTTTAAGATGCTTTAAGAAACAACAATTTGCTGACATTTTATATCATGATTTTGTCCAATTTGAGTACCTGCGCTCTTGCAGGATTTTTACACATATGGTAAAAAAATATTATACATTTGAACCTGTGTGCTTTTTAATGAACCGTCAGAAAGTGTTCCGCTGTAACTGTTTCAACGTTTTCTAACCTCCATTTCGAGTCGCAGTCATGCAGACTGAACCGTGTTTGTTAATGGATGCTTCAGGACCAGGTCAGCTGGTTCTACACAGCCTACTGTATGTCAGCATCTTCATGACAAATGGACCACATCCTGCCTGTCATGTGGATTTGTGTGCAGGGACAGACAGCTGGGCAGTGACACCGTCCTTACGACTGTCCTGCGGATAGGTATTCCAGACTTTGGCTCAGTTAGCCTCCCGCCTCGCCTCTGATGACATCCACAGACTCTTCCTCTCGGGGACATGTCCACTGTTTCACGGCTACTTTAAATCCTATTTGTGGGACTTAACATTCTCAGTTGGAAAAATAAATCAAGAAATCTACATCAAACTCCATTCACCTACGGCTTAATTGTTCTTGTGGGTTGGCCTTAGTGCACCAGATTATTGTGGGTGGTCTTCCTATGGTTAGGATTTTTTCCTAAGGGTCATCTAGCTTACACTCACCTGTTTATTGTTTTACCTTAATACAAAGGATTTAACGGTCTGATTTTATTATAAACACCTCACCTATTTCAAATTTCACACACCTGTCCAAATATGTCATGACATGCTTGGTGCTGAGTTTTAATGTGTATTCAAGTGCAACACAAATATTGCAAGATTCCTGAGTTAATACCTAGTGATTGTGGAGTTATCCAACAGGGCTGGAAACCACACGCTATGCAACACAGAGCTATACAAACAAATCAGTCTATTTTTGCCATTTCAGTTTAATATTTCCATATAACAAAAATAATATTTGTTAACCTTATATTTAAGGTAAAAAAGCTGAATTCAACTATCAATCCTGTGGTAAAGAGTCTCTCAAACTCTAGGAGAGGATCCGGTTTTCCACACAGACAGTCATTATTTTTGATGGATGTTCAGGTCTGAGCTAATGCGATGGATTTTGCACGCAGGAGACAAACTTCTACCACTAGCTAAGAAGCAACTCCCAAATTGCGAAATTACATGTGCTGATCAGAAAATAGCTACAAGCCTGGAGAAACAAAGTGCTAATAATTACACTACATTCACCTCCTTCCTCTTTCAGTCACACTTGGACACAGCTGATGGGAAAAGTTAAATGAAGACAGCTTTGCAGTTGGACGAACTGGATCTTGGATCGAGATCACCTGGGTCTCTTTTAGGATGTGCAGGTGTTTTCTATCTGTGTTTCCTTGTCGAGTCAGACATCTGTTTATCCAATCCCTATTGACCACTGATTCTGCACAAAGAAAAGGCATTGTTGAAGTGGCGGAAAATAATCTTATGACGGAAATATTCACTTTTCTTTTCACACTTTGTCACTTCTGGATATGGAGTAAATCCTTTAAGCATCTGGACAACCTCTGCTATTTTTTTGTAATCTATGTGATGTTGATATACTATGATCTATTTACAGCACACAGTCATTTAGATACTGTGGAAATAAGACATTTCGCCAGGTATAATAACAAAAACACATGAAGCATATTAATGTACCCAAAAAGGAAGCAAAGAAATGTAATCTGGTGCAGAGCAAAACTTATATCATACATAATTAGGTTGTTAAAATCCTTATCATCTTTAGGTTAAAATCAGGGACTGGCTATAATATAAAAAGTCATTCTAAATAATAAACTACATTGACTTTTGAAGCTGTTGTTGGAAACTTCAGGGTGAACTTACACTACAAGGTTTCTCAAGAGCTTAAAACTTTATCACATTTAAGTGGCCCTAAACTTGGGCTTTTTAAGCATGGTGTCAATGCCAGGGCCCCATAAGCTACAACTTGGGCAACGTGTATCAACGTTTTCTTTAACAATCCACAAGGCAACCCTAACCCTAACCCTAACCCCTGTTTCCTTAAACCTAACCCCAACAAAACTCCAATGTAAAACCATCAGCATCATTATAAGACAAGAAATGGGGTTGGCATGGGTCAGAAATCACAGGACTTTGAGCAGTCACGCAATTCATGACCCAAAGCTTACTTATCTTTATATGTCACAATGTATTCCGGGATGCTACGTCACTGAGTCCATGATATAGCATCCGTAGCATGTTTCAACCCAAACCATAACCATTCATACTGTAACTCATTTTCTAATAATAACCAAGTGATTTTGTTGACTAAACCTTACCAAGTAGTGTTGTTTCTTAGACCTAAATTCTATGTTATATCACATGAAGCTACATCACTAAGTAGCGTGTTGTGCGTGTGCGTGCAAACCTTCTTCGCCAAAATGCGACGCAAAACGCTTCTGCCAAAGCCTCAAAATATGACGTGTAGTTATGAGTTCACATTGCTTGTTAAGTGTGCTGCATTTTCCTTGGTC